GGCGAGGGGCCGTCTTTGACACTGCTGAGCCTCCGTCGGCGCAGCCCGGGCATGGGCACGCGCCGGCCTCGCTGCAGCAGCCGTCGAGGCCTGAAAACATAAAACCAGAGAAAAGAAAGAAGAAGGGAAGGCGGGGACGGCCCATGCCGGGGAGGAAGGAGATGGGGGATGCTCTGGCTACGGGGCGGGAGAGGGAGGACGGGGTGGGATATGGAAGGAGGGACGGAAATCGGGAGCCAAAGAAAAAGAACAAACTACGAGTCTAAAATGTGGTGCAAGCGCCCTACGCGGCTGTCCGCTAGCATGGCATAATGTCCGGAGCAGCCCAGAGAGGGAGTCACATCAGGTCTACACAGATTTGCCTTCCCATATATACAACCTCTACTGGAGTTAACAGCTGAAATTGAGATTTTTTGTGTCGGTTCCTCTGGCCTCGGTTGCCGTTTTATTTTAATGCTGGAGCCCGTCCTCCCCGCCTCGCCGGCGCCGGGCACATGCAGCCCTTGCCTGGCTTGCCTTGGGGATCAAAAGGGTTTGGAGGTCTGCTTGAAGATGAAGCCTCTATGGGCCAGTGTCTTCATGATGTTGGCGATGTTCTTACAGTCGTCTGCGGAGAGAACACAGAGATGCCGGGTTAGAGCCACGATCCGACTGGGAGCTGTTGGAACAAGCTCTGAGTCCCCCACTGTGCAGCTCCGGGCACAGCCCCTGTGTCCCCACCAGTCCGAAGTGCCTTGCAGCAGTGTGGGGTGAGTGTGGGGTTCTCTGGCTCCCCGTCACTGACCACCTGCATCCCGGTATGGCCCCACTCTGCACTGGGATGGATCCATGCCCAGGACCCGGAGGCTGGCCTGCAGCAGTGGCATTGCCCAGGCTGCCACATCCCTGGGTCCACCAGGCCGGTCCTTGCCCCACAGTCCGTGGGGAGCTGGTGGATGGGGAGTGCAGCGTTCCCATAATCTGGACCCACGCTGGCCCACAGCTCTTGGCCAGTGGCTGCTTCCCTACAAGCCCAGTGCTGGTCACCGCACCCTCCTCTTCCAGCACCCCTGTCCCTTGGTGGCACTGGCCACCAAAGAGGCTGTCCCTGCACCGGGATGGGGATGGCAGGTGGTGCCAGAGCTGCCCTCCACCAGCCAAGCAGGGTCCTCTCCTTCCCCTCGCCCTCCTTGGGTTGGGGCTGTGTGGCACCTGGCTCCCTCTGCTTGCCACCACCATTTGGGGTCGTCCCCGTCCCT